GAGAGCACACAAGGAAGGGGTGAGGATAGGTAAGACACCTAAAAAACTAGCTAGCATTTGTTGCCCTTAACGCAGAGAAACTAAAGCAGATACCTTAAAGCAACTGAGGCCAATAGGAAAAGGGAACAGGTACTAGAGAAAAGGTTAGATCAAAAAGAATTAACCTAGAAGGTAACACCCATGCACAGGAAATCAATGTGAGTCAATGCCCTGTATAGCTATCCTTATCTCAACTAGCAAAAACCCTTGTTCCTTCCTATTATTGCTTATACTCTCTCTACAAACAAAATTAGAAATAAGGGTAAAATAGTTTCTGCTGGGTATTGGGGGGGAGAGGGAAGGGGCGGAGTGGGGTGGTAAGGGAGGGGGTGGGGGCAGGGAGGAGAAATGAACCAAGCCTTGTATGCACATATGAATAATAAAAGAAAAAATGAAAAAAAAAAAGTCAAGAGTAAAAAAATGCTAATATGTTATACATTACATTTTAGAATTTTTAAGCTATTATGGTCCAAGCACAATCACTCTTGATTTGCTTTATGTCAAAGCAATCAAATGTAATATATTAATAACTATAATTTCTGTCAACAAACTTTATGCTATTATGTTAAGTGGGGGACCAGGAAAACCTCAAATACAGATACACATCTTTGACTTGCTTAAGTCTAATGAGTAATTTTCCTTAAGAATTTTTTTCAGTAGCTTACAAACATCATTCTGTATGAAAATACATGTCACTCTGTAGTTGAATTTAATTGCAAAGTTTTTAATATTAATGTAACTATGCAAGCTCAGTTTAGCATGGGGTTTGGGGCAAAGGTAGCACTGTATTTAATAAATTAATGCTACTTAAGTTCTTGTTACATGCTGCAATATAAATGAATCTTAATAATATTAAATGGACTGAAAGAAGCTACTCACAAAAAAGCTACTTACTGTACAATCATATTCATATAGACATCAAGAACAGGCAAAGCTTTGGAGATAGAAAATAGAGTAATGCTTTGCAGGTACTGAGTGGGAAGGAAGAAGAATGTATAGTCATTGCTTAATGGGTAAAGGGTTTATTTTTGTTGGCATGAAAGCTCTCTAGAATCAGATAGTGGTGAGGGTTACACAATCATGTAAATTATATGCTATATGAATTTTATCTTAATTTTTTAAAAAATGAAAGACTTTCATTTTTCAAGGAAAGCTAAAGCTGATCCTTGACTTAACAAAATGTAACCTGAGAGGATTTAACATGTCTCAAAGTAGGGCAGTGTCTGAGGGAAAATTGAGTATGGAAAGATCTAAATTTGATCAAGGGCAATTCCTCATCCTCAAAATATGTAAGTAAAGTAAGTGATGGTGAGAAAGCTGGTGGGCAACACAAATGCATTACTTTTCTGAGGTCAACTAGTGGAGACTGGCTACCAACCAGTCAGGTGGTTTGAGCTTTGCTTTAGCAGGATTTCCCCACAGAATATTACACTGGTAGTTAGTTCTGGGATCATCATGAAAAATAACAATGAAGTATAAAAGCCCATTTAGTTATATAAGTAAGGGCAACAAAACTGAAAAAACAAGTGCCTAAGAGGAGAAAATAATATGTAGCTATGAATTCAATGGTGAGGTTTAAGGAGAAAGAAGGAATTACTGGACTACTCAGAACATAAATTGATACAAGCCAAGCAAATTTAATGTTTTGTGTTTTTCTTTTAAATAGACTTCATTCTGATTCAGGGTATACTGTCATTAAACAAAGGGCATTAAATGAACACATACCAATCACATTGTTGAGTGTAATGTCTTAATCACAATATATATTATGATATGCAGAAGCTTCTTCAAGGCTTCCACATAATTTCAGTGGGCAATACCTTTTTTCTATTTTCTATTTAATTTCTGCCATTGTGCCATGCAACAGGAATCCCCAGGAAGGTTAATGCTCAGTTTTTCAGTTGAAATAAATAAAATGCTATTTCCTTTTCTGGAACCCTTCATAGATTTCATTAATCAGCATAGTTGAAATTTTGCCTGCTGTGATATGGAAATGATCTTGCCTGCATAGGGAAATGAGTGTCTCACATAAACCATACTTAACAGTACATCAAGGAATCATCATCATGATCACTATAGGTTTGTCCTTGAGTTGCAAAATTAGTTCTACATATGAATAACATGATTCCCCATACAAACAAAAATAGAGATTAAATACTTGCTTATCTCAGTAAATGCATAAAAGTACTTGACAAAGTACAGCATACCTTTCTTAGTAAAATTCTCAATAAATTAGTTGTAAAGACAATGTTCTTCAAAGCACTGAGAATTCCTTTATTGCAAAAGTGCATCTAACATCATAATCAATGGTAACATTTTGAAGGCTCTTATGCTAAGATCAGGAACAATATAAAATACCCATCTTTATCACTTCTTCTCCATGAGAAACTGCATGTTCTAGTCAGGAGAAAAGGTAGAAAGAAGAAATAAATGATAGCTTAATAGGAAAGAATGGAGTGAAATTATCTCCGTAAGATTATATTATTCATAAGAAAATGCTAGACCCATACCAAGAAACTAGAACTAATAAATAACATGAATAAAATTACAGGATACAAAATTCACACAAAATGAGTAGTATTTGTATACATGAATAAGTAGCCAAAAGAAATAAAAAACAAATTCAAAATATCATAATTTTGAAAAGAATAAAATATTTTGAAAAGTATTAAGCATTGAGTAAATAGATTAAAGATGTCATAAATAAAAGGAAAGAATCAATACACATGGTTTAAAAAATGTAAAATGGCTATATAAATATAATAATAATGATCAATTGATTTAATACCATTCCAATCAAAATCTCAATGGCATTAATCACAGAAATATTTTAAGTCTGAAATTCATATGTGCCTAAAATAAAGACAAAGACTCTCACCAGCCAAAGCAATCTTAAATAAAGGGAGCAAAATTTGATATCTCAAGTTCTACTTTAATCCCACAGTAATTCATGTAGTATGTTACTAATACAAACAGACAAATAGAACCATGGAGAAAACAGACAGCCCAGAAATAATTTCATGTATCTACTCTTGACTATGAGTTAAGTGCTAAGAATAAAATGAGAGCTGTGAGAAGGAAATAATAAATCACAAAAATGAATCTATGAGAATAACAGCAGAAGTCTCAGCAGGAACCACAGAGTATGCACTTGGAGCTTTGAAACAAAGTAACTCCCAAGTAATATTACTTTATCCAGTAGTTTTCCTTTAATTAATGGAAAAATGAACCTTTTAAGACAAGCACATTTTGAAACAATTTGTGCCCACAAAGCCAGCATTGCAGAAGGTACTTAATGGAATAAATACTACATGTAGAAGTGGAAGAAAGGTATACACAGTATAATAGTGTGTAAATTTATAAATCTCTGTAAGTATTGATAAAGAAATGAGAATTAGGAAAATAGCAAATGGTATCTTTATAAACCTGCAAACTTCCAAGATGAATAAGGGAGAAAGTAATGAAAATTACTAAGCATCATTTATCTGGCATTAATGGTAACTTCTATGAATCCACTTCTCTTTCTAGAGTATGCCAGATATTTTCATATTTTGTTTGGCTTGCTATGATTCTGTCTCTAGCCATTCCTCCTTTGCACTCTTTGTCTTATAAGTGCTCATGCCATTAGATTGGGCTTTCCTGAATAATATACCTATTTTAAGGCTTAAAATCTTAATCACGTCTACAAAGTACCTTGATCATATAAGGTGACCAATTCAGATGTTCAAAGCATTAGGATGTGGGCTTCTTTGGATCACTCTTATTTTGTCTGTTTCAGTATCCCAATGAAATGACTTCTTTTTAATATCATCTGTTGATTGGGTGCCTAAGTGACATAAATTATTCATAGATGCTCATTATGACATCACATCCCACAGTCAGTTGATAAGGCATTTTGGTTTCCACCTCTATGCTGTTCATATTAATTGATGGGTATTACATATTAATTTCAAAGAATATGTCCCCAAATAAATTGCCTACATTTGAAAAACTAAAGTTAAATGAAAAGTTAGTCAGCTTTTCATTGCTGTGATAAAATGTTGAGAGAAACAATTTGAAGGGAAGAAGGTTTTATTTTTGGTCACTGTTTTAGTTTTTGGACTGTGCTGAATCAAAACATCTTATCAGCAGGAATACATGGTAGAAGAGGTTGCTCACCTCGCCGGGGTCAGGAAGCAAAATTAACAAACAAATAAAAAGTAAATAAATAAATAGGGAATGCAGGTGCAGTCCCAATATCACCTTCAAGGACATGCTCAGAATGACCTAGGTACTCCAACTATATCTCCCACTTAAAACCTGCACCACCTCCCAAAAGTAAGTCAGGATCTTGACCAAAACTTTACCATATGACTTTTGGGAGACTTTTCAAATTTAAAGCATAAGAATTAGTGAAAGTAAATGACAAAGTAGATATACAAAAATGAAGTGAAAATGTATAGATTTCAGGTGATCCTGAAATAACTTTGAAAACTTTCCTTCAAGTTTAAGCTCATGCTTTTGATTTTACAAATATGAACAAATATAGGAAAAGATGATTTGGCTCATTTAAGAAAAGTAAAATTATTGAAAGTGAATTAATTTGGGGACTACTATTACTGAAATTTAGAATCAGAAAAGAATATCGACAAATGCAAGTAAGGTAATTTAGGTAGGTAAGTTTATTAAATTAAAACAACCAGGGATAACACTTGGAATTTTGTCCATATATTTATAGGAAAAATGTGAAATTTTATTTATGGGAAAATTAATTATTTATTTATGGGAAAAAATTTTTCTTTAGGCATGGATTACAGAAGATAGATGAGTTTCTCAAATATATAATCATGCAGAGTAATTTGAGGCTAATGTTCAAATATAAAAGATACATCACAAGTTGGATTTTACTACATTCTCAAAGTAAAAATGTAGAAATTTAAAAAGTTTCCCTGATATCTCTATGAAAAAAAGATAGAAAAATTTCAAGTAAACCTATGTCTCATTGTTTTAAGTAATAATTTTCTCACTGCAGCAATCACTTCCTTGTTCCTAAGACTGTATATGATTGGATTGAACATAGTCACGATGGTGTAGAAAAGAGACAGTAATCTGTCCATTGCAGCAGAATGATCTGATTTTGGCCTTAAATAGGTAAGGGATGCAGATCCATAAAATAAAACCACAGCCAGCAGGTGGGAAGAACATGTGGAGAATGCTTTAGCACGTCCTGTGACTGTTGGCAACCTCAGAATGGCGGAAATGATTTTGCTGTATGAGGCAAGTATCAGCATAAAGGGAGCTGCTGCAACAAACGTAACTACTATATACACAGACAGCTCATGGTCGGAAGTATCCCCACAGGCTAGCTTGATAATGGGAGGTATGTCACAGAAGAAGTGGCTAATTTGATTACACTTACAAAAATGCAGAGAGAATATTTGACATGTTTGTCCTATCTGGACTGGGATTCCACTGAGCCAGGATCCAGTTGTGAGCTGGATGCACTTCTTTGGGTTCATGATGAGAGGATAGTGCAGAGGGTTACAGATGGCCATGTAGCGGTCATAGGCCATCACAGCCAGGAGGAAACATTCAGTTGTTCCTAGTATAAGAAAGAAACACAGTTGGGTAGCACAGTCCAGAAGAGATATGCTTCTATTCTGAGTCCAAATACTGAACAGAATCCTGGGGAGAGTGACAGATACATAACAGATTTCCAGGGAAGAAAAATTTGCCAGAAAAAAATACATGGGTTTCTGCAGTGCAGGATCAGCTCTTGTTGTTATGATTATGAGGCTGTTTCCAAATAGGATAATTATGTAAATGATGGAGAACATCACAGAGAGGAATCCTTGGAGGTTTGGAAGGTCAGAGAATCCCAGCAGGACAAACTGCTTCACTGTGGAATCATTGTCTTCTGTATTTATCTCTTCATGGTTCATCTGTGAGACAGATTTGATAGGACACATTGTCATTTCATGGAACTCAGTATTTGTTTTCCTCTGTATAATCCAAGGAAGTCACACATTCTTATTTTTTCCATTTCCTATAAGAATAAATACTATGTCTTCCAGGTACTTTGCTTTAAAGTTACACTTAAGTGTATTTTCATTGTTCATAAGTATCAATATGAAAAAGTTTAGTCTTTGTATCGTTCCAAGAGTACTATATAATTGTTTATAATAACCATATTAAAGTTTGCTATTTATTTGAGCACTCACTACTGAAATTTGAATTTATGTTCAATACAAAAGTGATGTCCTTATTGAAATTACTGCATGTTGCCCTCATTTCCTGATTCTGTTTTTTAGTATTGTCAACTAAAAATCTATTTCACTGCTCAAGTAGGCATTTTGTATGCCATCTTAAATATTTTTAATGTTTAATATATTTAATGTTTATAGCTATATTTTTCTCAATTTATTTCTAAAATCTTGCTCAGTTTCATATGAATTCATTTTATTAACAGATTATATTAATGCATCAAATATTGTAGAGTACTATTTAATTGTAAATTATGTTTGTATTTCCATGTAATGTAAAATTTTCAATGTAGCTCCATTTCAATGCTGCTGTCAAATTTTATAGATTTTTGAAGAGTTGAGAAAATCTTCAATATTTTCTGTCAAAGTAGCTCAGAAAGCAATGCTAACTAGAATATGCACATTTGAATTACATGTTTATTATTTAGAAGTAGAATATCCAGGAACTCATCCCTGTTAATTTCCTAAATCTCTTACCTCTTCATTTTTTGCCTTTTTTGTTAACTTAAATTATTTTTACCCACTCTGTCCCTTTCTTTGTGTGTGTGTGTTCATTAAAGTGAGCATATTAAAATGTATTTATGTTTTTATTATTGTTTAGTTATTGTTAGGCCTAAGATGTAAACTTCTTTTGATAAATCTTACATTTTGTTTGCTACACACACCATATTGTTTCACAAAATTTCTTTCACTACTTTACCTGGTAAATTACTAAAAGTCCAATTTATTTCTTTATTGAAATAGTCACCAAAGTGCAAGGAATAATTCTAGGCCAAAATAAAGACCACACCCTCCAGCTTCAGCTTAAGCACATTTCATTTTGTGTCTGTGTGCATGTTCCATGATTGACTGGTGGAATAAAGGTATTTACAACCAACAGCAATTTCATTCATGCTTACAGAGGGAGCTTTTTATCTCATTGACTTTGGTATAAAATAGCTTATGTCCATATAATGTGAAAAGTAATTTGAAATCCTAAAGAGACTAATTAACATGCTTCAAGCAGGAAAAACTGTTATAAAAATATACTAAGACTGTTAAGTCTGGACACTAATCAAGATGTTAGCATCACTAGTGCAGGAAAAGCAGGAATACAGTGGAAGAAATAGCCACAGGCAATGACTTCCTATGTAGAACTCAATTATCAGCAACTATGAGAAAGGTTCAACAAATGGGACTACACAAAATTAAAAACCTTCTGCACAACAAAAGAAATGGTTTCTAAATTGAAGAGACCACCCACAGAATGGGAAAAATCTTTGCTAGCTATACATCAGACAAGGAATTGATAACCAGTATATACAAAAACAAAGCTCCCAAAATATCAATTACCCAGTGAAAAATGGGCAGATTAACTGAAAGAGACTTTTCAAAGAAAGAAGTCCAAATGGCTAAAAAAACAAATGATAAAAGGCTCACCATCCTTGGCCATGATGGAAATGCAAATCAAAACCAAGTTAAGATTCCACCTCACTCCTATTAGAATAGCTACCGTCAAGAACAGAAACAACAACAAATGTTGGCACAGATGCGAGAGAAAGGAACCCTCATGGCTGGTAGGAATATAAATTAGTGCAACCATTATGGGAAACTGTACAGAGGCTCCTCAAAAAACTAAAAGCAAAACTGTCACGTGATCCAGAAATACCACTCCTAAGGATATACTTGAAGGAATGTAAGTCAGGTTACAACAATGCACACCCATGTTTATTGCAGCACTATTCACAATAACTAAGCTATGGAAACAGCCAAGATGCCCTACTACTGACTAATTGATAAAGAAAATGTGGTATTTAGATACAATGGAATTTTGCTTAGTCACAAAGAATGAAATGTTGTCATTTGCAGGTAAATGGATGGAACTGGAGAACATCATCTGAACTGAAATTTGCCAGGCTCAGAAGCTAAAAGCCATATGTTCTCACTCATTTACAAAATATAGACCTAATATAAGTACAGCAATATTATGAAACACTGGTTACACTAAGGGGAGGTCATATATGAGAGGGGTAAGGTAAAAGACGGAAACTATGAAGATGAATATGGTTGTTATACTCTATACAAGAATGGAGAATTCTTAAACTGGATGAAACCACCATAAGAAAGGGACTAAGGTAGAATGAAGGAAAATAGAGAAGATGAATCAGTTGAGGTTATAATACATTGGAAATAATACAAGGAAAATTCCTGTGTACCTACCTTTATCTCAAACAAGCAAAAATGTCATTTTTTAATTTTTTATTTTTTCTTCTACAAAATTAGAGAACATATCCTGCCCAGGGAGGGTGGAGGGGTGGGAGCTGGTGCAAGTTGAGGGTGGGAAAAGGGGATAGGAGGGTGAATACCATACAAAAAATGTGTACACATGTATGTAAATGCAAAAATGGTGCCTGTTGAAACTATTCCAGGAGTGGGGGAGAGGGAAGGGTGGATAAGGAGAGAGGTGATGGGGGTAAATTCAAGTATGATATATTTGATATATTGTAAGAACTTTTGTAAATGCCACAATATACCCTTACCCAGGAAAACAATAAAAAATGTTAGCCTGGAGAACATGTAGACAAAAATGAAGACCTTGCAACAGTGTACTCAACATGTGGGCACCCAAAGATTTTCTGTGACAGAAAAGAAAAATTAAATATAAACTTTTTTTCTGCAATATTACAGTGAAACAAAAGTAATTAATATATTTAAACTTCCTTGATTTTATAGATTAGTACTTTAACTTTGATTTTAGAGATTGTAACAATGCTGCAGCATTGTCTATCAGAGATAAAAGGAGAACATAGGTGAGTGAGGTGGTAGAGAGGAGGGTTAGGGAAGGGTGGGGCCAGGTAAGTTATAAGGTACCAAATTCTAGTTAGCTATTAACAAAAAGCTCTAGTGTCTTTACACAGTAGGAAACGGTATTTTACTCTCATGGTAGAAAGAGAAGTTATAAGAAAATATTTTAAATGTGATCTCCATAAAAAATGATAAATATGTGGAGTCAACTTTTTTCTGATTTTTAAAATTGCACAATGCATAGATGTATCAAGGCATCAGAAGATACCCATAAATATGCACAATTTTTATGCATCAGGAAAACAGAAAAAGAAAAACACAAAGAGAGAAATAAATGCCCTCTCATTAAAAAAATGTTCTTAATGAGTTTTCATGATAGTCATAAATCAGTAGCTAATAATGACACAACAAAGATATGATTTTAGCTTAATACAAACCAATACCTTTTTCACTATATTATGCTGAAATGCTTAATTGTATTCCAAAATCATTATTCATTCCACTTTAATTCAATATAAAACTAATGCAGGGCAGTGCTCCCAAAAAACAAGCTCTATTCTTTGATCCTAGTAGGATAAAATATAAACTAATCTCAATAACATCAGCTCATTTGCTTATTAGTTATATAAAAGTGTGCAATCCCCAGGTTTGATATATGTATACATGCATGGGACATGGTAGTCCCTTAGTAAATTTTAACATTTCATTGATGGTGGTGATGAAAATGATGACAATCTATAATATATGGATTCAGTATGAAATAACTTCACTACATACTTTACATCTTGATGTTGTTGTCCCATCCAGAAAAGTAAAAACTCTATCTGAATTAATGTTTGGAATTAAAAAAATCAATGAAATTATTTCTAAAATTTTTCTTTAATTGAATTTTTCCTTATACAAAACATATGGGTAATTACAAATTTAAATTTATATTAGACAAAATTATTTCATGCTTACCTATTTAGGTCAAGGTTAAAGATAATACATACCTTGATTGGCTACATAAAAAGTGAGAGTAAAAGGAAGGTTTTTAAGGTTAATTTGCTTTATTTGAAACGAAGTTAACTACTTTCTCAAATACATTCCATTGTCAGAAACAGTAATGTTCTTTAAGTACTAACTGTTCACTACCCTAGGGATCAACTTCTTTCCTAGGCAACCTTCTAATTGAGTACAGCTGTTCTGCGTGCCACTCAATGGGTTTGCCACAACAAAAAATGTGTCTGATCCTAAATATTTGTTTTGTAAATTCCTGGCCTCTTTTACTTTTGCACAATAGTAATAAAACATAAACCTTGGAAACCTGAGAACGTTACAATTGCATATCATTTATGACAGCATTATAATAATTACATATTTTTTATGGTATAAACCAAGCAATGCTTTAAACTAGAATGAATTTTATTTTTCTGTTATTGAGAATTGAATGTCAAATTCTAGGCTGCTCTGAAGTTCTGTGATCTTCAACATGACTCTCCCTTTTCCACATCCACATTGCCACATTCCACATCAGGCTTCAGATCCCCCTAACATGAGGACAGGGGCAGAATAATGGTCCTCACTCTCACCCCTTCTTTTCAGATGTACAGAACGAAATAGTATGAAGAATTCTCACACACATCTCCTCATATAATTTAGTCACAAGAGCACAACAAACTGGATGACAGGCTAGAAAATGTAATTTCCAACCGAAGTACTATATAGCCAGCTAAGATTTTCTATTTCTGTCAGTTATAGTCCTCAACTGTCCAAATCTAACATCAAAAGTAGGGACTATATTAAGTGTGCAATCTGGGTCATTCCCAGTTAATATAATGGCCTTTCTCATTGTGTTGATTAGAAAGTAGTAGAAAACAGATCTGCAACACCCATATAAACAAACAGGTAAACACATGCTCACAAAAAATATTGGAGGATAATCTTTG